CTGTCGATGGGATTTGAACACCCAACCTACCACTTGGGGGGTTGACAACCTGACCACTTCACTAGGTCGCCACACCCAAGTATGTTATTTTTATCTACTAATCTGGTTGTATAATCTTATGCTTTAGATGTATTTCTAGCTAATTTAGATATCTCTTGTATTCAGGTTTTTAATTTTGTTTTGTGTTTATCAAATTCTGATATTAATCTATCTTTATTAGAAATTTCTTTGTCTTTTTTTTTATTTTCTTCTTTGAGTTAGTGAATGATTCTTTTTAATTTTGAAATTTCTTCTATTAATTTTTCTTTCTTTTGTATAGAGAGTTTGATAGTATTATTTAACTATTTTTTAAGAAATTGTATTCTCTCTTTCTATATACCTATAACTCTTTCTAAGATATATAGACATTGTTCAAAATTCCTATTTGATTCTACTAATTGTGATACTACTTCATAGAGTTCTTGGTTAGTTTGTTGTAACTCATTCATTGTTTTTTATTGACTATAATGCTATCCACTCACAAGTTTGGCCCAGATATATATTGTTAACTATTTTTTATTATAATATATAATTTTGACAATGAGAAAAATAAATTGGCAGGAAATAGAGAAACCTGTAATTTATATTGACCCACAGAAGGCCTGTGATTTGGATAGAAAAGTTGGTTTGCAAAAACTATATTATAAGCCTAAAGGTTATTATCAGACTGCTAAAAAAATGCATGTTGCTTATAGAAATATAGTTATAATTTTTTATTAGTAGATATAAAAAACTGATTAAATAAACAGATAACTTTTTTAGTTCATAAACTTCAACCAAGATTTATTCAATATGCATCTTTTAATGGCATACAAGATTTAAATGAAGTACATAAACCAGATCTTACCTCTCTTTCTTATAATAAAATTGGTAATCAAATTTTTAAACATAGAGGTGTTATAAAAGATGTAGCAACTAGATTTCATAAAAGTTGTGCTTTAACTAATAAGTCTTTTGTATCATTAGTTAAAATGTTTAAAGCAATTTATGAAGATTCTAATAATTATCTTATATGGCCAAAAGTTTTAATTGTGAATAAAGGCATTGAATATCTAGGTGAGTGTAAAGATTTATTACTTAGTTATAGTGTAAAAATTATACAAACTAAATCTAAACATAGTACATCAATAGCTGAATGTGATCATCAAGAATTTGAGAAACATGCCTATATTCATTAAGATGCTATAGATTTTCATTTACCATTATCTAAGAGATGTTGATCTTGGATTAAAGGTCTTCATATTAATGATGATATTTATAATGATACTTCTACCTAATTAATTTATATATCTCCTAATGAAGCTGTAAAAAAAGCTTTAAAAGGTAAAAAAATAATTTCTAATCTATTTGTAAAACATTATAAACCTATTGGATTTGATAAACCTTAGTTAATCTATAAAGATTCAGTTTTATATTTACTTGAATTCAGAGAATTAGAATTTGGCAAAAGACACATTACTGATATGAATTGGTCTTCAAAGGTTTATCACATTAAAGAATTATTAATACAAAAAAATCAACTAGTGTTATACTGGCTTATAGATGAAAATAGAAATGGTCCTGAAAAAACATTTGTGAGAGAACAATTGATAAAAGTTGGTAAAGTTGTGTATCCACCTAAATGAATTCTTAAACAATATTAAATTTCTAAGCTATGAATTCTTTGAAGAATATTATCTACTTCTTCTTTGGATCTTTTTTCTATAACTTCTTCCTGACTAGCTAATTCGAAATACAACTTATATAAATTTTCAAAACTAGTATATACTTCTTCATTATATCAATCTTTGAAATCTGTCATTCTTTTATTATAAATTTCCTCATTTAGAACATGCTGTTTTGCAACATATCTTATATAATCTTCTGGATCTCTTTTTTGCTATAAAGTTTTAAGATAGTTTACATACATCACTCCTAATTTGTTATATTTTTTAGTACCTTGACTATATGCTACTTTATCACTTTAACTAAAGCTGTTTTAATATCTTTATGGTCAACTATTTTTGAATACTTGTTTTTGTTATCTATAATAATACTTTAAATATATCTTTTCCTTTATTCAAAATAAAATGCATAGTGAATATATCTGCTTCTATTTTCATAATTCTGATAAAAGCTGTAATAGAAGTTGTATGCATTCTGATGGTTGTTTTCTTTATCAGAGAGTCAAAAAATACATTCCTTGCACTGTATGTGTGAAGCTTACTGCCTCTGCTTCTGGTCATTACCAGGTTCATGTTAATGGGTTTTATATTATCCAATATATTGCTCAACTTAAAAATGCTCTCTGATAACTCACTGCACTTTATTTGTTCATGATTGTAATAGATTTTGAAGACTTAAACTATACAAAAAAGCAATATGATAACTAAATGCTCTACTTTACTTCACATTTCAGGTGCTTTGCACCCTTATACAGTTAGCAATAATGGATTTTGGAGACTTACTAGACAAGAAAGCTAAAATGTTATCTAGATATATTTCAAAGTAAAAAAACATCAAAAAGCTATACAATATATTTTTTGTATAATAAAAATGTATTATAAAAAGCAAAATGCTTATTATCAAAATTAAGTTTTTAGAGACTCCAGCTAGACAAGAAAACAAATATAGTTCTTGGTTTTTTTAAATATTGATTAATCAGAATACTAAATTATTATTTTTGAAGCTTTCAAGTGCTGATTTAATCAGAATACTAAATTATTGTTCTTGGAGCTCTCAAGTGCTAATTTAACCAAAAAACTAAATTATTGTTCTTGGAACTCTGGAAAGGTCATTTTTAACCAAAAAAATCTAGCCTCTAGAATATGTTTCTAGGTATTTTATATAAAAAAATAATATGGATTTTGACAATTTCAGAGCTTTTAATTTATATATTCAACTTATCTAAAAATTCTATAAAATAAAAACAAGTCTGCTCCTTCTTTCTGCTGCTCTGCTTAATTATAATTAAAAAAAAAACTAATTTACTTAGTTTTTTTGTTAGTTTTTTGACTGATTTATTTTTTGTTTTAATTAATTGATTATAATTTAAATAATAATAAATTTAGAAATGTTATATTAGTTATAATAAACAATTTATTATTTATATCAGTAAATTCAGAAATAGGTTTTGTGTTAATAATATTGTTACTTGAATTTCTAAGTCTGTTTTGGTTAACTTAGTATTATTTTATTTTAATTCATTTTTTGTAATAACTTGGCATTTATTTTCTGAATTTTGATTCTCTTATTCTTGATTATCTTAATTAGAATTAGAAATATTGTTGTTATTCAAAATTGGTTTATTATCATAGTTTAAAATTTGATCATTATTATACTATAAAATTTGCTTATTATCATTATTCAAAATTTGCTCATTGTCATTACTTAGAATATGCTCATCATTATTGTTATTGTTATTTAAAACACTTTTACTTAAAGAAATTTTTTTCTTTTGTATATATTGATTAACATTTTTGGTTTGCTCTTTGATTCTTTTATAGCTAATTTGTTTTAAACAGATTTGTATAAATATTCATCTAATTAGATTTAATATAAAATTTTGTATTAATAATTACAAAAATAAATTATTATTTGCAAAGATGCATTATGCTTATAAATTAACAATATTAATTCATTAGTTATAAATCATAAATAAGAACAAGCATTTCATTTATACCTTTATATATTTAGCATTAGAATTTTATTGTATATTTTATATTAACTTATTTGATTCATAATTTATCTATTTTAAAATATTTCTAAGGCTTTATACTTATTTTTTTTGATTCTAAATTTATTTTAATAGTATTATTCATTTTTTTAAATATATCTCAGTTAATATATTTTCAATAATATTCAGTTTTTTTTATTTATATTTTTTATTTATCTTTTTTATTTATCTTATCTATGAATCATTTATAAAATTTAAACTTAATTAATATAAATAATTTTAAAAAATAGATGTTAAAAAAAAAACAAATTAATTATAAAGATTATGCAAAATTAATTTTTTATTTTTATAGCATAATATATGAAACTTGGATTTAGTCAGTTGGTCTTATTTAACAATTTTAAAAAATCTAGCTGAAAATAATAATTATTAAAAAAAAAAACAGATTATACAAAACAAAAAATAAACTTTGAATAACCTAATAATAAAAAATCAGAGATCATCTAAATTAATTACAAATTGTATATTTCTGTGTTTGTATTTCATATAAATAAATATTTTATTAGTATATTTTCAACTATGGTAACTACTTATAATATTTATTAATTATCTGTTACAATATTTTATATATCACCCAGTTACCAATTGGTTTTAAAAAGATAATTATTTTTTTTAAAATAAATAATTATAATAAATATATAATTAGTAAACTTAGTATACATAATAAATTTTTAACAAATTTATTAAATATTATATACCTTTTCAATAACAGATTCAATAAGTTTTGAAATCTGTATAATAATATATAACATCATTACAATGTTTTAAAATTTTGTATTGTCATAATCTAAAAAAGAATTGTCAATATTTTATTTAAATTAGATCACATAATAAAATAACAATATACAGTAATTATTAGATATAGCATATATATTTAGTGTAATTAGTAGATGTAGCATAATTAGTGTAATTAGTAGATGTAATGCAATTAGTATAATTAATAGATATAGTGAATATAGTATATTTAGTATAATTAGTGTAATTGGCATTTATAGCATAATTAGTATAATTAGTATATATAGCGTAATTAGTATAATTAGCATATAGAGAAAAGTATATAAGTAATGCATATGTAATATAAGAAAAACAGGTCTCACAGTATAGTCAATAAAGATATATTTACTCTTAGTACTCGCCCAAATTTTATGCCTTTTTTGAGTACTATTCTGTCTGTTATTATATAAGAGACTCTCGTTTACTCTATAAATAGGAAGTTTTAGAGTCTATAATTTCCATAATATAACAGTATATACAATTTCTTAAAGCATCCTATAAAATAAATTATTAAAGTTGAGTTATTTAAAATAAATATAATATTATTTACCAAATATGAAAAATATTCATCTAGTTTAAAATGCAAAATTTGTAGAATTTTATAACAATTATATTCTTTTACTTTAGAAATAGGCTTAATAATAAAATTATCAGTTTTAAAAAATAGTAAAAAATTTAATACAGTATGCAAGAAATTGTTAAGATTAATATCTGTTTAGAATTACTTAAAGATCAGTCTATATCATCTAATTATCTTTTAGTAACTAACTTAAAATTATCTTTAAGCAAGTATACATAAGTAGTAGTTGTAGATTTAATATAATATTTGATACTATATTTTATTATTTTTTTTTTTAATATTAATGGTGAGGCCATGCCTCTATCTTTATTGAATATTTAATTGAGATTTTACATA